CCTCTCAATAGTGAGGCTTACAGAGAGAAAACCCACACTAAGGGGTGCTTTTGTAGCAGCAGGGTTGCTTTTCATCCCCATCCCTCTTTCCACCCTGCAGGCCTCACTTTCACGCTCTGGCTTGCTCTGACAGGAAGCCCAGCTGTTTATCCAGCAACATGAGAGAATGCGGGATTGATTTCACAAGCTGGTGGACACACTGAGGACGCCACAGTTACATGTGGGCACATTTTATTTTCTGGATGCACTTGCGCATTGTTTCTGCTCAACAGCCAAAGCTTTATTGATTCAAAACCATTACCCTTCTCCCCCACCCCCTAGCACGCTTTTCTTCTTTTTTTTTTTTAAACTATGTACCCCCATTTCCCACCCCTGAACCACTCTTCTGCTTCCACTTTGAGTATTATCTCTGCTTGGAGTCTGTTTTCTCAGAAGAAGCCAACTGACAATTCATTCAAATTTTTTTTCTCCCAAGAACCATATAAATTACATGCAAAACATTGTACATAGAGATTAATATCAAAATGCAATACAGATCAGGTGCACTTTAAGCTGAACTCTAGGATATGGCAAACACACCAGGGTACATATTGCTTTGAAACCACCATTTTTTTTAATGTCATGCATACCACATAATATTCAGTCTTTTGTTTTGTATTTTTCTGTTTTTATACAAAAATACCAGTGCTTATTATACTTAGTTACTGGAAAAGAAAAACTCAGATCTGAGCGCCCTCTTCAAAAGAGTTTTGCTGTGAGAGCATTGGATAAATATATATACACACATAAATGTTGATTTAATACTGTATATATATATATTTATTTAAGGGGAGGAAATAAACTAAAGGCAGTTTTAGTCATGGGCTTTGCTGAATGAAAATTGTTTTTTGTTGAGTAGGACGATATCAGAGGCAGGACAGGCAGAGACCAGCGAGTCTTGGTGGCAGGGGACAGCCTTGGCAGAGAGATGCTGGAGAGGAACAGCCAGGTGCCAAAAAACCCACACTGGCGTTGCCCCCCTCGCTGTTTGGGGCAGGACCAGGAGAGTGGTACCCCCACATCACCATGCCCTGCCAGGGAGAGCCGGGTTTGCTGCAGGGCGTTTTACTGGTTGCGTGCTCCACAGGTTGATAAACTTGTAGGAGCTGAATGAAGCAGTGAGAAGCAATGGCAGGCAGGTACACGTGTCCTTTCCCCAAGAGGTACAAAAGCTTGCAGGGACTCATCTTTAAGGTGCTTGGTCCCTGCAGTCATGGAGGGCAACAGGAGTTGGCAATGGCATCTTGGAGATGCCCTCCCTGGGTCTGGGATGGGGCTTTTCCATTCACCCCAACATCGTGTTACCCCAAGAAGCAATTCTAAAAGGGGCTGAGCACTACAGGACGTCTACTCCTCAGCTGGGGAAAGCCTAAGGCTGCCCATGCTAAAATTTGGTTTAGTTTTTTTCCTTCTTGAGATTGTTTCAAAATTTTCCTCAAAGCTTATTGCACAAAACCTTTGAAAATTAAGTATAACCCCTGTGCAAACCAAAGGAAACCTTATCACATAATGCAAATGCCTAAAAATGCCTGTTCAGCAATGCACACAGGACGTGGTGTGATGTCTTTGGTACCAATCCGTCAATTTATTTAACAGAAAACCACCACCACCAGAGACCCTACTGTTATTAAGAACTGGATGCAAAATTATGTTCAGAGTGTTTTAATAACAAAGCATTCCAAGGCAAGTTAACACGTATCACAGGGTATGACTTCGGTTCCTGTCTGGCATGGCACTCTCCCCCATGCACACTCATGGCAGTTCAAACAAAGCAAAAAAAAAAAAAATATCTTTCTCCCCCTCTTTCAAGGCATGTTGCAGAGTCCCCAGAAGTTCGTGCCGCCAACCATGCTTTTCAGCGCAGAGCACCAATCTCCTCCAACTTTTTTGTAATGTCCTCAATAACTTAACCCAATTGTCACCTGCTGCCAATATACCACTGAAACTCAACAGAAAAAAAAAACTTTACAGAAAAGATGTATGCACAATAAACATTTATACTTTAAGCACCCAGCCATACCAACATAATTTATATAAAAAAACCCCATTTGTGTCATCCAACTAACATTTAGTATAAAGATGGCTGCTCAGAGAAAAGGAAGCTGACTGGCATCCGATCGCTGATACACTGAATTAATTACCTGTCACTTTGAACTGCTGTCACACAGTCACACGCCGTTACAGACGCGGGACTCCAGATTTATTTTTTTCTTTAAACAAAATACATATGGCTGACGTAAAAATATCAGTTTCTGATCTAAAGAAAACTATATTTTTTGCATAATATTTATATATAGTTATTTCTCCCCCTCCTAATATGGAAACTAGAACAAAAATATATCAACTAAAGAACGACCAGACCCTTGTGGCAACCTGCCAGTCACAGACTTCTGGGAGTGACTTTGAGAGCCTCCAAAGTTGGCTTCGTGTTGGTTTTTGTGAGTTTAAGTCTTTTCTTTTTTTTAAAACAGGTCTGAGGTATTAAAAAAATATTAAATGAAAAATCGGTGTGTGTCCCCCCCAAAGTATAATAAATATTTATGTAAGCTTGTAAGAATACCATATTTTCATCTTTTTTTTTTGCAAGTATTTAAAATAGAAAAAATGATCTTTTAAGCAATGTCACCTTTAGTACAGAACCAAACCCCACAACCACCCCTTGTCTTTCATGTCACCATTTGTGTATAACCCAAGAAACCCCCCCCAACACCCTCCCCCAGTCCTGCCCAAGGTATTTTTTTAGCTCGTATGAAGAAGGAAGGGGGAGGGCAGCGATGGGTTTGGTTTGTCTGTGTGGCCAGGGGGCTTGACACTGAATTTGCAATTGAGATGGGCAGTAACGGCAATTTCTTCTTGCTGTTGGCAGTGTACGGAGCCCAGCCTTCACCCCCTTTGCCAGCACCGAGGCAGGAGACCTGGGAGAAGGACCTTTCCTCAGCAACCTGGAGCAGG